TATGCGAAATAGAAAATGAGTTTAAAATTGCAGATTGTAATGTAAAATATATATAAGAAAAAGAAATAAAGGTGCACGGTAAATTTTTAGACATGATCTTTCAAACAAATAATGTGACAGATATTAATCATTCAAAATTATGGGATAAAGACATACGGAAAACATACAACTTAGATACAGCAATAAAAATATTTGAGTACTTATAAAATTAAGATAATGCTCTTCAGAAATCTTTATAAAAATTCTCATTGCAAATTTTACTAATTTTTTAATACTTTAAGATTGCTTCAAAGAACTTGTTCGCACATACATAAACTTTTATGAACCTTCAAAGCAAGTGCCGATTATTCGAATAAGAAGCAATTATTCTCATTCATTTAGATTTGTCATCAAATCGAGTGCCAATTACCGGGCATCGCGGACAAATGATAGCGTGTGTAAGGCACAAAATGATTTTTATTACTTAATTTTATTTCTACCCAAATGAGGCAGATTATGATTGAATATGTCACACTTGTATTTACAAGTATGTTTGTAAAATATATGATTTACCTAAAATTAAAAGAGCATGACGCTGATCTTTCGAATTATTTTTTGAATATGCGTGATTTCGTTTAGAATATTTTAAAGATGGAGCATAATGCGAGGAATCGTTAGGAAATGATTGAGGCTAGTATCAGCAACGAGATTTCATGTGAGAAAAAGCTTTACACTGGAAGACGCTAGCATTAGATGATTACTATGAAGCGTCGACAAGCGAAAATACTTTATTCTAGTCGTATCTCTTATGCTTTGCCAAGTACGCAAATGTAATTCTTGTGTTTAAATGTAAAGGTCAATTATGTTTTAATAAAATCTGCCAAGATTCTCTTATCAGTGTTCCATGTGTTTCCCTTACTCTTTTTCCTATAATTTCTATACATCTTCATTTTTTAATGCAAAAATAGCAATAAAACTACATTTAGAATTAAAATCTAAAACAGTTAAACAAGAAAAAAAGAAAATAAAAATTATAATTATTTTAATAAAAATAATGTTTAATTGTACTTTTCTTTTAGTACTTTACTCACATTTAAAAGATATGCTGGTTTTCATTAAAATACATATATATCCGTCACACAAAAATACCTGACATACTAGTTACAAACATTAACGAACGTAATGTTTTAACAGGGTTGGGAAGTAACGCGTTACCATTTTCGTTACCTTTTTTTAGTAATGATCGTTACTTTCTTCTGTCTGTAACGTCGTTACATTTTTACAATAACGGTAACGAATTTAGCCGTTACTTTTATTGTTATTTTAATTCCCTATTATTTTCTTATTTTATAATTTATTCTTAATTTTTAAAAAAATATTTTATACTTATTATCTTATACTGCAGTGTTCTAATAGGCACTGACAATGTTGAAAATATATAATTCACATTACATATACATATTGTAAATTTTTGATAAAAGCAATAAATATGGAAATAGACGTAATAATAATCCTGGTGGAAATAAATCGCTAAGTGTTGAAAGTCGCTGAAATTTCTATCAGTTGACTCATTTCATTATAAATTATACTGAAATAGGTCTATTGATAAAGATTTCATCAATTTACTTCCACCAGGGGATATTAACGTTTAAAAACAATGCTTAATCTATTATCTGTTTAATCTAAATTCTTATAAAAATGAGTAGATTGAAATAATGATATTAAGAAAATAAAGAATTAGTAAAACTGTAGGTAAGTTTAATATAAAGAAAAGCTTGTTCTATATACAAACTTCCTAGTAAAGAGTTTCAAGTTTGAATATTGATTTCACATTTAATATTAAATTAATTATCAGCTAATGTAATTTCGAAATCTATTAATTTAATTTAGCTTTATAAAAAAAGTAACAAAAAAGTAATGAATCGTTACTTTTCAAGTAACAGTAACGATAACTTTTTAAAATTGGTAACGAGTTACTTTTTTCAAAGAGTAACGCGTTACTTTTTTGAGGTAACGCGCACAATCCTGCATTTTAATAAATACATTTGACGTGTTTTAATATGAATGTATTGTGTAAAAAAGTATTGCTGTCATTTAATCAGTAATCTGTATGGAACAATACGGAGGTCTTTGGTAATCGCAGTTAATACATATGCAGTTGAAATGAAATTTGTATTTAAAAATATTACATATAAAACAGCAAATAGGCTCAGGTATTTTTGTAACTAACTACAGTATTCATTTTATGTAAAGAGGTTGAGAATGATCTAAGTTGTACCTCTTGACTGTTTGCAATAAAAACTGGCTGAGTCTCGTCCCACTGGTTGGGAATGTTACAGTCAGGTACTGTGTACGTAAGTATATCAAAGGAACATAGGCAATCCAAGAGTGGCAAGAAGCTCACAGTACCTGTAAGAATACTTTGTATTATAATTTTAACGTTTTAAATTCTATAGCATAGAACATTCAGCGCTGCAACAATATCGTTAGAATGTTTCATGCTACTTGAGACATATCATAGCGTTTTATTTCAAATAGCATTGAGTGTTTCATACTACCTGTGATCTGACGTATCACTTCGCGTATTTCTTTCTGTATAGTTTTTGCATCTTTTGTTCCTACTTCAGGCAAATCACCCTTAATGATGCTGTCTGTTCCATTAGCCTTCTGATCTTCATAATCGACCTTGAAATCCCACTTCTCCAGCACCTCTTTTGTATTGACATTTGTTATGACAAGCGTGATTTTATGCACCTTGCGCTGGACGAGCCACTCTTCAATCTGTCTCAGCACAGTATTTAAGAAGGATGTGATTTTTTCGTCCGTGGACGTGAAGATGAATAGACCGAAATGTTCGGAGGGCGTGAAAGTCTCCGGCGGATATATCCCTCTTTGATAAAGTATACTATTGACTCCATAGACTGCAACGAAGAATAACAATCAAAGAAAGGTTAGAAATATCTCAAGGCTAAAATTGACTCACTAAAATTATACTTACGCAGATATTGCGAGACCAACTCGGCAGAGCCTTTTAGAGTAATGCACTTAGTCTTTTGTTGCGTTTCAGTCATGCTGCAAAACACTTGAATCACAATGAAATCATCGGAAATCACCGGCAATCAGCACATACCGGTTTATGAATTTGAAAAGAAACGACATTCAATCAGATTCGACCAAGACAATTTGACCAATCACGTGTAATAGCTCCGGTACACCAGCGCGATGTTCGTCGCGCGCGACACGCGATATCCAATAAGTGTACAGCTTTACTGATGTTCTTATTCTAAAGGTATACTCTCATTGGATATCGCGTGTCGCGCGCGACAAACATCGCGCTGGTGTGCCGGAGGCATAATGCGTCGTCTACAATACACGGAGTAAAAGGTAAAGCTGGAAACACAATAGACACAGGCAATAGGCATAGATAACAGGGAATAACGAGCCGTTCAATCAGAGCTTTGGGGTATAAGTTCGATATTATATCCCAGAGCTCTGATTGGACGGCTCGTTATTCCCTGTTGCCTGTGCCTATTG